CATTTAAAATATTTAAATGCGTTTGCGTTCATCGGTGTCGTTTTTCGTGGCAATTTGAAACTAATTCAGCCAAAGCACGGTATTTATATTCACGACAAGCGATTTACTTTTTACATGCTTACGCGTATCCGGAGTTCTCTCATCTTCAGAGCATTCAACCCCTAGTAGCAGAGTTATATAAAATTAATTTTTTTAAAAGTATAAACTGTAAATAACCACAAGCTAAAGACAATTCATTGCGTATATAATGGATGTAAATTTTTTTAGTTAAAAGTTTACATTATTGATCAGCTCTTTAATTAACCCTTAGTAAAGAAGTTATATAACTCCTAGTAGCAGAGTTATATAAAATTATTTTTTTTAAAAGTATGAACTGTAAATAACCACAGGGTAAAGACAATTCATTGAGTATATAATGGATGTAAATTTTTTTAGTTAAAAGTTTACATTATTGATCAGCTTTTTAATTAACCCTTAGTAAAGAAGTTATATAACTCCTAGTAGCAGAGTTATATATTTTTTTTTTTGTTAAAGTATAAACTGTAAGTAACCACAAGCTGAAAAAAATCCGTTGCGTATATAATGGATGTAAATTTTTTTAGTTAAAAGTTTACATTATTAATCAGCTTTTTATGTAACCCTTAGTAAACTAGTTATGTAACCTAATTCAAGCAAAGTATATAATGTATATAATATACGTTACAATTACTTTAAAAAATATTTTATATAAAAATTATATTCAGTATTATATAAAAGGCTCATTAACAATGTACACTAAAAAAATATGCGTCCATTATATAAACCAGTTGCTATCCTTTACGGATGAAAATAAGATAGGGTTATGTGAAGGTCACTCGGATCATTTACATAACAGTTCGATTAAATGTTATGTAAGTCACTCAAATACTCAATGAGTAAAGAGCGTATGAATCATTTATATAACAGTTTACATGAATGTTATATGATGTTCACTACGAGGCCTATGGTTTAGAAAAGTGGTTTTCTCCATTGCGATGGTGGAACATTTTCATTTTCTACAGAAAACTTTGCGCCAATCTTTAAGGGATTAATATCAGTGAATTTCTTGCACACGAGTTGGAAAAATCACTGAAATTTACGCAAGAGTTGACCAGTTTTCCTGTACAAAATCAAAACTTTTTTGGAAAAATTGAAATGTAGCAATGGACAAAACCACTTCCAAAACCAAAGGACTAACACACAAATAAAACTGATAAACTTCATCCACTTAAATTTGTCATACACGAGATGCAAATAATTTAAAAAGAAGAATTGGAATGAAGTAAGTATAGTTTATTCCTTAATAGGGCAAGCCAAAAATGAATTTGAGAAATACTGAAGATAAGAAAGAGAAACAAATTCTTGAAAAGACAACTAATGTCAAAGAGAAAAACAATTCATAATGAAGAAAAAATAAGTAAATAAACTTTGAAACCCCAAAATAACATTGGTCCACAAGATACAACAATATCAGTACTATCAGTGGTATATCAAGAAATCAACATGACTGAATAACATCACAATAAACAAAATATTATGAAAAAAAAAGCCCTTTGAGGAACTACTATCAGTGGTATATCAGTGAAGAAATCACAAATGAGAATGGGCCTGTTGCAAACTTTTGCTAGAGCAAAACTAAGAGTAGGTTCTTACAGATAATGCCTCAAAAATGACGATGAGTGCATTGGCAAAGTCTGATATGCACTCATAACTTCACAATCTGCGTAAGAAATTTGTGGTTTTTTGAGCTTCTCGCTTCGAAAACGATACTACGGTACAGGTGAACATTTTGTTGGAGGAGTCGTTCCATTGGCGGCAAAACTCATCATGACCGTGCGCAAGCGTCGGCCATGATGAATATTGCCGACAATGGAGCGACTCCTCTAACAAAATATTCACCTGTACAGTAGTATCGTTTTTGAAGCGGGAAGCTAAAAATAACGCAAATTTCTTATGCAGATTGTGAATTTATGAGTGCATTTCAGACTTTGCTGATGCGCTCATCGTGATTTTTGAGGCATCATCTATAGGAGCGAACTCTTCATTCTGCTCTAGCAAAAGTTTGCAACAGGCCCATTGAAGGAAACCTTCATAATGCCTAAAAACTAATTTGTCAGTTGAATGAAAAGAAGAGGTGACATAATACAAAAAGAGGCCGTCACCAGGCCAACATAACTCTATTAAATAAACTTTGAAACTCCAAAATAACATTGGTCTACAAGATAGAGGTGTCGTCAGCTAAGTTGACGGTTGTTTACTTTCGGTTTGCAGGTGTTTTCGCGTCACTAACATCAACATGAAGGCATCCGACTACCTCAGAACCGAGAACACAAGCTTACTTAAGTTTTTTAATACTTTCAGACCTTGTTACACTTTAATTTTTAGCCACACAGAAATCACAACCACAAAAAAGTCTCAAATCATAACTGATAAGTGACTGATGATGAGACTGATGTTTTCAATGATGTGTATAGTTGCGAACGCCGCTCTGTTCAGACGCCCAAATTCGTCGTTGGCAATTCCAAACCGAAAGTAAACAACCGTCAACTTAGCTGACCACACCTCAACAACAATATGAGAAAAGAAACTGCCTATCAGGCAAAAAAAAAGGGAAAAAGGGGCATCAAAGATACCAAAAATAATTAAGACGGAGAAAAGAACAAAACCCCGCATGAGGGCAATCAGCTATATCAGTAATATTAGTGGCATATCAAGAAATCAACATGACTAAATAACATCACAATAAACAAAATATTATGAAAAAAAAGCCCTTTAAGGAAAATTTCCTAGTGAGGAACAAGTAGCCACAAACTGGCAGAAAAAGTCGGCGTGGGGGCAAGCAGCCATAATATCAGGAAAGAAATTGGCATGTCCAACTAAATATCAAAATTCACAAAGTATTATGAAAAAATAAGCTCTTAAGGAAAAAATTTACTATTAAGCATCAATTAGCCACGAGTGGCAAAAACAGTCTTAAAGGGACTGAATAAATTAGCTATATAAATTAAGAAACACGAGATGGAACTAACATGTCAGAAGTCATCAAAACTAAAAGGCAAAAGCCCTTTAACCCTACTCCTACCCTTGTCAAATTGACCGGAAAATTTATTAGTGAGGAACAAGTAGCCATAAACTGGCAGAAAAAGTCGGCGTGGGGGCAAGCAGCCATAATATCAGGAAAGAAATTGGCATGTCAAACTAAATATCAAAATTCACAAAGTATTATGGAAAAATAAGCTCTTGAGGAAAAAATTTACTATTGAGCATCAATTAGCCACGAGTGGCAAAAACAGTCTTAAAGGGACTGAATAAATTAGCTATATAATTAAGAAACACGAGATTGAACAAACATGTCAGAAGTCATCAAAACTAAAAGGCAAAAGCCCTTTAACCCTACTCCTACCCTTGTCAAATTGACCCTAATCATGACATAAAAGAGCGACATTTTATTTCTATGGGACATGGAGGCTTGAAATTTTACATAGGAGATAAGACCTACAAAAACCTTTAGAAAAAGGATCCTGTAAAAACATTTGAGAGAAGAAAGATTAAGTTCCAAAATTCTCAACTAGGTGTTCTAATTGACCTACATTATATTTTTAGGGGATGTTTTTTTTTTTTTTTTGTCAAAATACAAAAATTTCATTCTACAGAATGTTGCTGATATTGTGAGATGTGAGGAGGGAGTACTATCAATTGAATTGCATTTTGCAAAAAGGAACCAGGAGCATTGCCATGTTGTTAAGATTTTGCAACTTCAACCTTTGCACTACAACTACTGTAATCGAGTGAAATTATGAAATTTTCATCGTCATTTATGTCTTAAATTTACAGTATTTAGCATGTTAAATAGAAAATGTTAAAAGATGATCAGGTTTTTCCTCTAATACAAAAGGAGGTTGCACAATCTTAGCAACATTGCAATGTTCTTGGTTCCTTTTTGCAAAATGCAATCCAATTATGTGTCATGATTTAGGGAGGGAGAAGGGGCACGACGCACGTGTTTCATACTGACTCCTGGAAACCACTAAGCAACTGGAAAAGAACCGTTCTTCATTTCTAAAGAATATTTTCTTTTCCCAAGTAATGTGAGTCTAACTGGTTTTCATTCTGAATGCATATAAAAGTGTGGGAATAAATTCAGGGGAAGGAGGGCTGCCCCCCCAAGTAAAATATATTCAGTGAATTGAAAAAAGTACACACATGAAAACTTAACTTATTGATGATGGAACTTATGGAGCCGAGTTATCATGAACTAGAGCATCGTTGTCCTCAGAACGATGAGGACCAGGATTCTGGGCAACAACATCATTTCCACTATTTTCAGCATTTCCATCATTTTCATTCTCAGGATCAGAACTGTTCCTGTAACAAATACCGCGGATTAAAATTCTATGTGTCACTAGGGATTATCACCCAGATTACGGGTGGAATTGTAGTTACAATTCATAAACATAAATATCAAATGAATACTCAAGGAATCATAGTTACTAAAAATATACACGGCAAATCTTCTGGCATGTGCTTCTTATGGAAAGACTATTACGCTTAAGACTTGGGTCAAGGAGCACCCTGTTTGGTCTGATTCTTTCCTTATCTTGTCTTTTCAAGCGGTAAGAAGTTCGATTTTTTTTTCTTTCAAGAAGGAAATAAAAGGAAATTCCAGGTGGTACAGGTGAATTTATCAGATTCACATTGAGTCTACCACATTCTCCATTTTCCTTGGATTTTTCAGGATGATTAAACTTGGAAAAATGCATTTCAAGTCAGTTAAAATGGGCAACAATGTGGAAGGGTAGAAACACGCCAATTTTACATGTCCAAAATTGCGGTGCCCTTTGAAATGAAAGAAATCTTCCTCATATGAAATTTCTAAACATAATAAATGAAAACCAAAATGAGGCAATGAAATCTGTGATGAGAAGAATGATTTTTTTAAAAAAATTAGCTATAAGGCAACTGGCCAATTAAAAAAAATTGTTAACCATGCTGTGCAAAAGATGTATTGTCAGTAGTCAATTTATGAACTTAAAGTGTAGTTATCCACTTTAGGCTCTTAGCATCTCATACAGCTTTTGGCCCTGGAATTTGTGGTATCCTTTGACACACAATGAAAAAATTACACTAATAAAGATGATAATGTTACGTACTGATTTTCTCCTGCGTCTGATTCTTCAGAGGATGGAATTTCTGATTGAGATGAATCCACAGTCACAGATGTCCTTTAAAACAATAAATTTTAGGTTAAAGACATACATACATACATATACACACCCTCACATAAATACACCCAAACTTCTGAAACTCTTTGCCTCCCTTAATTTAAAAATCTAAATTTTTACACCCATCTTCCAAATTCTTACTATAGACGTTGACAGCCCAAGATGCTGAATGTTTTTAAATAAATTGACTAACTGGACTGAGTTAAACAGAAAGGAACCAAGCCACATCAGCTATTGCCAAGTTTAACGAGGCGCTTACATTTTTTAGAAATTTGCACGAATATCCGCACAACCGTTTTCATGTAAAAATTAAATTGCCCAATTAAATTTGGCAATAGCTGATGTGGCTTGGTTCCTTTCTGTTTAACGCGGTCCAACTAACACTCTCTTTCTAGTATGACAATAGTTGTGGGGCCACCTGATTTGTGTGCTGTTATAGAAATAACCTAACCTAATGATATTTGGGCCAAAGAAGCCTAACTTCGTCTAACTCAGTACTGTGCAATACAATTTCCTTAATCTCTCTTTTAATGTTCAACATATCTATATTCCTTCAATATTAAAATTGAATTCTTTTGGTTCAATGGATAACTCAATTTCTTCAGGAGTGTCATTTGGACCGTGCTTAACAGAAGGGAAACAACTCAATTACAGTGTTTCCAAACTTGTGGCACTTTCATGCTTAAAGAAAAAAAAAAAAAAAAATGCATGTTCATGTGATGAAATTTATCACCTGATAGTTTCCTTTTAAAATTAACAATACTTCGGTAGGAAAACCTGAAATATTTGAACTTCCAGGTATATTTGAGGTAAAGATAAAGTTCAACAAGTTTGAAAACACTGCAATTGAGATGGTTCCCTTCGGTTAAATAAATTAAGAAAGAAAAGAAATAAAATTCAGGTTATAATGCCCCTTTCACTTAGGTAATAGAAAGGAATGCATTAATGCTCTGGAAAGAAAAGGAACAATGAGGCGATGGTAGAGAAGTGTCCTCTGATAACAGAAAAAGACCAATTGCAAGTGTAAAATTACCCCCCCCCCACCATCTAATACGTTTAGCAAAAGAGCTTGAAATTCTTCAACTGTGTAGAGAACAACTAACACCGAAAAAAGAGATAGCGAAACGAAAACTTACTGTGATAGGAGTTTTTCCATTTTATTCGCTGTTTGCGAGAACCATTGGCCCAAGGAATATTTAAGATTTGCTTCATCAATTGGGGTGGGGTGATGGTGGTACTTCACGATTTCTAAAAAAAAAAAAAGAAGAAAGAAAAGAAAAAGTTGAGAGTGCAGCCTTTCTTACAACCATGAAAAAGTTTCAAGCAAAGGAAAAACGGATTCGGAAATACAATTTTTTGCCAGCAAAATTTTTCCTTCGAATATGATTGTGAGCTTAAAGTTGCTTGACATTAAACTTAAGTTCTAAAATTGATAGAAAAACACGACAAAAAATTTACCAAAAAATAGATGATTCGTGTTTGGACTGCATAAAGCAGAGAGGAACAAAGCCACATCAGGTACTGCCAAATGTAATTGGGGAATTTTTTTTTTTTTTTTCTAAGAAAATTGTTGTGCGGATTTTATTTTGCAAATTTTAGTGATTTTTCTGCATGGTACAAAGCAAATTCCATCAAATTTTCAAAATAATTTGCACAAATGTTAACTTGTAAAAATTAAATTAGCGGATGTTGCTTGGTTCCTTCCTGCTAAACGCAGTCCACTTGCTTACCAAGCAAATACAAATCATGTTTTACTACCTGATTGCTACACACTTACTATTAAGGTACTATACTAGGTTATTATGATGAGCTACTACAAGCTTCCTGGTACTATTACCAGTTTGTCTGGTAATTTTACCAGACAACATTGACTCCACGGTTGTCACAGAAGTTGATAATATAATTCCCTGACTTTTTGAGGAAACATGAGATTTTGTGTAATTATATGAGTCTGATAAAAAATATTTGTCAAAGGGTGGACTACTTCACAGATGACTCACACACTCACATTCAAAGAACTTTTTCCTGACTTACCCTAAAAGTGGCAATCACTGTTTTTCGACCAGCTACTGCACCATAGTACAACAGTAATTTCATTTCACGTAACTGCCATCTCACAGTGAAATGAGAAACAAAAAGAAACGAATTGTGACTATTTGTAAAGAAGATAATAAAGAGGGATCTTACCGAGTATTATCTGATAAAATTGCAATTTCTTGAATGGGAATTTCTTGATTTTGTTTCTTGGTTTGCCGTCCCATGTGAAAAAGCCGGCCTTTTCCGCCCCAATCAGTACGCTAATGACATTCCGTCCGGTAAAATTAGGGTACAAGGACTTCTTTGTGACTTTCTCTGTGATTATGGTAGCAATCTGTAAGAGACAGAGAGAGGAAGACAAGCAGCATTCCTTTAGAGAACTTTAATCT